TCAGGGACAGGGAGCAAGCTTGTGGACTTTCCATCATGCATCGATTATTGCTCTGGCCATTTAAGACACAGGGTGAAGGTTGGAAAATAATGTTCTTTTAAAATAGACTGCCAGCCTTGGTCTGCTTCACTTTTTAATTACTGTGCATAATGTGCTCCTAACTATACACATTCCAGCGTATAGCACATGTGACATATGTAGATGGGTTAATGAGTTACAAACACGTGCAATGTTTGTGAAACCTGTGTTGATAAAATCGTTTTTTGTTTTTTTCAGCATGCAGTTCTCTCTGTGGCGGCGGCTCTGCTGCTGCACCAGGATCTAAATGCACCCTTAGCAACTCTCTGATGCACTCTGTCATGAAGCTGGCCTCAGGGATCGCCCCAGATAACAGTCCTATCCAGAAGCTCGCCTTCTCTCTATTGGCTAACCTCGCCATGTCCCGCGAGTGCCGAGGCCTGCTGCAAAAGGTACAAGCACTGATAAACAGTATATAATACAACAACATTGTGAAAAAGATTAGTCAAAAAAAGGTGAAAGACATTAATACACAGACTCAGAGTGTGATATTATATCACTAATTACTAATTCTTTTAAACCTTTTAAACCTTTAAAAATAAACATAAGAAATGCATTAAGGCAAACCAAACTTGAGATTAGTCATGATTGAATCTTCCTACCTCATCTCTGGCACCGCCTTTACATAACCTCATGGTTTTTTATTTATATTTGTATTATATTATGTATATTTTATATGGGCTGTGGCCAAAAGGTTAGAGGAGTTCATCACTCTCACTGAGGTGCCCTTGAGCAAGGCCCTTAACACCCATCGCTCCACTGGAGCTGCTCGGTGGCCTTCCCTGAATAAATAAACGTACTTTTATATTTATTTTTGTATTATATTGTATTGTTTTGTAGTACTTGTTGAAGCGCTGTACTGATGACATGAGCCACTAATTTGTTATAACCTGCCCGGGGACTGTGGATGTAAATTGGTCTGGCACATTTACATTGTAGTGGAAACTGCAATGTTGACTAATGCATTGTGCACTGTTCCCGGGTAAATAAATAAATACTGAGAATTTTATTCAGAATGCGTGAGTATCAGTTTCATCACTAAATGAGGATGTTTTAGAATAAACCTGGCTGTGAAAAACATATTTACAAGTTGAATAAATTTAACTTAAGTGAGATATGCAGTGTGACAATTTAAATACTTCACACACATTAGGTTCTCTCCCACTAAGCATGTCCAAAATCTCACCCTCACACATATGCTGTTTGGGGAGACTTTCTGAACTGGAATAGCAGCTCTTAATGATCTTTTCACGTGACTCTAAAACTTTTGTGTTAAACCTCTTTTGTCTACTTCCTTTGGCTGTCATTCTCAGAATAACTTCCTGCAAGCCTTCCTGTCAGTGCCAGTGCCCAAGGCGGGCAGTGTTAAGGCGACATCCGTACGTTGTAGCGGCGGGAGCCTACTTGGCCTGTGGTTGAGACTGCTGGTCAATCTCTCGTTCGCGGAGGATGGCCAGCAGAGTATCCTTAGAGTGACCGGAGCCCTGGAACTGCTGGCAGACCTGGCACAGCACCGGCGCCATGCACTGCTCACCCTTCACAACCTCTGCTTCTGCCCTGCCAACAAGCCACACGTCATTACAAATGGTATGGAAGGGACGCAGGGGTTAAATTTCTAATTTCTTCACACAGGGATATGAAATGTTTTTTCTTCAAACACACACACACACACACACAGATAGATAGATAGA